ACACGGCTGTCAAAATGACGGGCGAAGTGAGTGCGCTTTTATTGACATTTCATCAGCCGCGTATGTCCAATAAGGTGTCAGAGACATCTGAGCGCCGGCGGAGGGCGCGTGTGCAGGCGCGAGCGGCCGGTGCTCGCTGTTCTGTCTCCGGCTCCTCTGTCTCCTCCCGTCCTCTTCCTCGGTTACCGAAGCCGACAGACAGAGTCGCGGAGACCCACGCTTCCCCCGTCTCTGTCCCCCGCGACCAGCTGACGGGCGACGTGTCCTCTGGCCTGACTGTCGCGCGGTAAAGCTTGAGCCTCCCAGGCAGTGAAAAAGCGTTTACACAAGATACCGAGCACAGCACATTTGTCATGTTCCATATCACGTAGCAATGCTACTGCCAAAGACAGTGAGGTACTGGCTTACTCCTGGCAGTCGATTTTTGTGGATATCTGGCGCCCAGTCTGACATGCCCTTTGGGAGACGAAGGGGGGGGGGGGGGGGATGTGGCGACAGCATACCAAACCGTTGCCATGCCCGAATCCACCAATCAGCACGCGGGGTCGGGCTAACGCCTTAGCGACAAAGCTGCGCCATCCATTCTCCGTCGTCGAATCATTCGCCAGGCATATGGGTATCTTGGCAGGCCTGCCAAAACTCGGGCCAGCCAAGAGCATCCATTGTCTGATGTGACAAACCCACCGGAGATAATCGTGTAAGCGACAGGATGGAGTCCGCTGACCAGGCGGGCATTCTGCGAATTTTGCAGACGGCCAACACCATCTGGCTTTTAGTTAATTCCACCAGCGGCGAAGTTACGTCGCGCCTGCAGAACCAGACAGTTGGGTCATGTTTAGCATGCCGAAAGCGACAGAGTTAGAACTTCACACATCCCACCACCTCTCATGAATGGATACGACTCGAATGTAGGTCCGTGTGCCGCTGCCCCGTCGCAGAGTTTTGAAGCTCAATATATATAGAGAAGGTACGTGATTGTGTCGTGGATACATGATGTCCACGATTTGATTCGCTTCATTCACATTTTCCAAAACAGTGTCCTCCTACAATCAATGCGAATCCGGGTTCTGCATGGACGATTGAATGCAGGCGTTTCAAAGATCAACTATGAATGACGTCGAAAAGTTCATAAGCCTGGCATTTAAGAACGGGTTAGCAAAGCCCTCAGTGCCTGGCTTAGAATCCAGAATGTTTCCTTATTTCGCTGGGTCATACCAATGTCTGTGTTTCCTTTTCAGCACAAAGGAATCATATAGTCCCTTGAGACCATGTAAGACCGTGTGGGGCACATAATCGCAGTCGTGAAAATAGAGTCTGTTGAGAATCAAATCGCGTGTCACGTGTACAAGATAACTTTGTGCTGTAACTCAACACGAATGACAGGTTTTTTGGAACCAGCTGGTGTGCCGGAAAACAGCATCTATACCTAACATCACGTCTGATTCACGTTGTACATCCTTTGCTTAGCACTATCACATTGTACATACACAATATTTCCGCGAAAAGACCGGTCACCCTGTTATCTATCCCCCAGTGTCAAATGAGATCAGTGGCTTACATCATGTTTAGACAATGCGTTGATATTTGGCCAGCTTTTGTACTGAATCGGGTTCAGAAGACTCATTGAGCTTGTTTCACGGCGAAGTGACTTTTGCTGCAGGATTTTACTGCAGCTGCCGCTGCTATGTGCGGCAGCTTGAACTGCAGATAGTAGGGATGTTTGAGTATTTGTTCACAACTATGTGTACCGTACCGGAGGGCTTGCTGGCTAAATCTAGGAGACAAAATTATGCGCTGCTCCGCGGGCGAGGGGGAACAGGACGGAGGAACGCGTCCCCCACCTTTTGCTCACTTGGGCGTCACGCGAACACAACGGCGTTACTCGGAAAAGGCGTCTCGGGACATCTCGATATCCCCAGCTGTCACATGCAGCGAAGCCCCTGAACTAGATTTGATGTATCCCGTCATGCTGTGCTACGCCAGCACACCTGCTTTCTTTTCAATATGGCCGCTCGCCGGCGGGGTGTCCTCGTCACCGATGGGATGGGACGGGATGTCCTCGTTCCCTTGAGCACAGCCCTCGAGTAGGTCACCCCGCAGCGACCGAAGACTGCCGGACCGCCGGCCGTGCTCTCTGAGGCAACGCGCCGGTCATCCAATACCGACACGGCGACCGACGCGGGCTGACCGGTGCAGCTGTCACGTGCCCCGACGGAGGTGCCCCGGTCGGCCGCACCGGCCTGCCGGGGCACCGGCCTTGACCTCGGCCGGGTCGGGTCAGGTTCGGGGCGCCGCCGCGGTGGCGAGCCTGGGCCGGGGTCGTCACGAGCGGCCGCCGACGAGCTTCGCATGGGGCTGACAGTTTCTGGTCTAGTGGGCGAGCTCATCATGGACCGGTAGCAGTTTGAGGCGGGGCAGGCGACGAGCAATCTTGTTGGATGTGGGGATGAAGTTCGGGAAACGAACTTGGGAAAGTAAACATTGATCTGCCGCGTGGCAACCCGGATCCCATGCAGAGGGGCGGGAGCTAGTATTCCGGAGTATGGATTGCTTCGGCAGAGAGATTAAATTTGTTGCAGCAGGTTGATGTATCAAATGAATCACATGAAAGGTCAGAAATGATATGCAGTATGCAGGCCAGTATGCGGTCATGTGCAAAGAAATTGAATATACTACGAACTTGCTCTCACGCCCGAGCTCTCTACAAAGGTCGTGAGTCAACCTAAGCAGATTCATTCCGGTCAAATAGTCAAACTCATCCCTGTTTGTGTGTCAGAATATGTGGTGCTGGAATGAGACCCTGTTCATGAGATGCAGCGCAGCTAGAATTAAGCACTTCTTCACCCCAGGATTTTAAATCTCGCCATCTGCTCGGAAGGCAGATCGGTAGTTTAATTTTTTTGCGATGCAAGATGGAACTGAAGACGATGTCGCTTAGATGGCTCCTGCACTGATCCACCATCCCGAAGAAGCAAAACATGTCTTACTTAGTTCGGTTCATGAGGTATCATTTTTTTTTCGTTGCGCCATTTCAATACGATACTGTGATTACGATATAATGGATACAAGTTCTGCACAACACTGTGCCGCGGATTAGCGGTAATGCCTCAATCAGGACAAAACTCAACTTCGTCGGATTTGTCACAGCGACGCGCAGTTGACTGTTCTTCAAGGCGACGGACGCGGCATTCTTCTGTGGACCGGCGGGTCTGCAGAGAAACTGCGTGCGATTCTACCTCCTCTGCTTCTGTATCTTACTGTTGGCGCCGCTGGAAAGGGGAGGGAACGCGCTTTTCAACTACCATCACGGGCGTGGCGTTACACGGAAAAACGTGATTTACGATTGTTCCGTCCCCAGTCACCGTCGCCAAGGCACCGGCGCCCCCTCCTCCCCCCCCCCCCCTTGGAAAAGCTATCAGATGGATACGACGCTCGGCACGTATCGTCCTCTTACCTACTTTGTGTGCTGTGTTGGCACGGAATATAGAGCGCAGGATCCGACAGCCGCCCTGCCAAGCAGCTCTCCGTGCTTCATATGTATGCAAGGCTCCATCACGGTCCGTGGCCTCCTGTAAGGGCATTAGCGAGGCGCGGTACGCAAACATCAAGTTTCACCGAGTATATAGGGACTTGGACGCACTCTGCTTTATCGTGAGCCTTCGCAAACTAATATGAGCTGCAACACCACATTACAGTATGGTTGATGTTCCTGATTATCTATGTCGTGTCTAACTATGGTGATCTTGTGCTAATCCTCAGCATAACACTACGGTCAAGTCCAGGTAATCTCCGTCGCATGCCAAACTTCAACAAGAAGCAAACCGAACTATTCCAACCCGGGAGCCTATTAACCATCCCGTCAGGCGCAGGTCCAGAAGGTCGGCGCGCCCGGGGCTCACGAGCAGCACGAGCAGACCGCCTTCGGACCTCTCTGTCCAGACGGGCCGCGGCGGGTGACTACCGTCCCCGCGCGTAGACGGGCGAGGCCACCCCGAGAGGACGCCGCCAGCGGGCGCTGGTACTGCCTGGCCCAGGGCGGGCAGTGGAGGGGAGTAGAACTCGATGGTCGATTAGAGGACCGGAGGGGGACGGGGCTGCTCTGGTGCCACACTCCGCGCGGCCGGAGGAGGCGGCCAGCATGCTCAGAGCCGGCGTCAGAGCCATCAGCAGGCGTTAGCCTGCTCGGCCTGCTCAGCCTGCTCAGAGCGGGCGTCAGAGCCAGGCGTTCGGAAGGTTTCAGCACGGCAGCCTGCTGAGCCTGCTCAGAGCTGGCATCAGAGCCAGACGCTCGACAGACGTCAGTCTGCTCAGCCTGCCCAGCCTTCCCAGAGCCTGTGTTAGAGCCAGGCACCCGGCAGGCGTCAGCCCGGCAACCTGCTTAGCCTGCTCAGAGCGGGCGTCAGAGCCAGGCGCTCACTCGACGGGCGCGTGCTCAGCCTGCTCAGCCTGACGCATTGTCATCAGCCAGGAAAGAAGCAGCGCTGACTCTCAGTGACTCTCAGTGACTCTCGCAGCGCTGACTCTCAGTGACTCTCAGTGACTCTCGCAGCGCTGACTCTCAGTGACTGAGTGCACCCGTCGGCCGAACAGTTGGTGCATGCTTTAGCAACGTCCCACCTGCAGGCTTCGCGCCGTTTTTGACGCAGTGGTGTAAGATCTTCTGGTTCCCTGTCAGTGGCTGCGACTCACCTGGGTTCACATGGACTCGGGTTAGCTTAGTGTCTGACATGGCATCCAGCAAGGACGCCCCTATTCCGGTGACGCCGTGCGATGCCGCGAGTTCCGGTCGCTGACAGGGACGGTTGCTGCATCGTATCTTGGAAGGGACCGATGTCCGTTTAGGGTCTCAGGTCCAAGCCAGCTGCCAGTGGCATCAAAATCATGCACAAATAGTCGACATTTGGATGTTTTCTTAATACTCTGGCGGAACCATGCACTGCCCCTTTGAATCCGCCCTGCGTGGCCCTGCCCTTACGACGAGGGCCCTGTTCAGTCGTCAGATACCTGCGGAACGTGAGCGTGCCGGAGGGCATGCGAACCCAGCCGGACCTGCAGTTCGACGCCACCGGCGGCCGGACGTCAGTGGAGCTCACCATTCGCAACCTGCGCTCAGAGGTCGGCCAGGGCAACGTCTGGGAGCCGGTGAGTGACCTGAGATGACCTGAGCTGTGGGAGACGGTGAGTGGCCTGGGTGTGTGGCCCCTGCTAAGGTCTCCATCGGTACACTGTGCGACCCCTGCTGAGGTCCCACCGGTCCGGTGTGCGACCCCTGCTGAAGGTCTCTATCGGATCCGGTTTCTGGCCCGTGCTGAGGTCCCTATCGGTCCGGTATGCGGCCCCTGCCAAGGTCTCCACCGGTCCGGTTTCTGGCCGGTGCTGAGGTCCCCACCGGTCCGGTGTGCGGCCGCTGCTGAGGTCTCCGTCGGTCCGGTGTGCGGCCCCCGCTGAGGTCTCCATCAGTCTGGCGTGCGGCCCCTGCTGAGGCCTCCATCGGTCCGGTCCGATGTGTGGCCTCTGCCGAGGTCTCCACCGGTCCGGTTTCTGGCCCGTGCTGAGGCCCCCACCGGTCTGGTGTGCGACCCCTGCTGAGGTCTCCACCAGTCCAGTTTCTGGCCCGTGCTGAGGCCCCCACCGGTCCGGTTTGCGGCCGCTGCTGAGGTCCTCATCGGTCCGGTGTGCGGCCGCTGCTGAGGTCTCCACCGGTCTGGTGTGCGGCCCCTGCTGAGGCCTCCACCGGTCTGGTGTGCGGCCCCTGCTGAGGCCTCCACCGGTCTGGTGTGCGGCCGCTGCTGAGGTCTCCATCGGTCCGGTGCGCGGCCGCTGCTGAGGTCTCCACCGGTCCGGTGTGCGGCCCCTGCTGAGGCCTCCATCGGTCTGGTGTGCGGCCCCTGCTGAGGCCTCCACCGGTCCGGTGTGCGGCCCCTGCTGAGGTCTCCACCTGGCCTGGTGTGCGGCCGCCGCTGAGGCCTCCATCAGTCTGGTGTGCGACCCCTGCTGAGGTCTCCACCGGTCTGGTGTGCAGCCGCTGCTGAGACCTCCACCGGTCTGGTGTGCGGCCCCTGCTGAGGTCTCCACCGGTCTGGTGTGCGGCCGCTGCTGAGGTTTCCATCAGTCTGGTGTGCGGCCGCTGCTGAGGTCTCCATCGGTCTGGTGTGCGGCCGCTGAGGCCTCCATCGGTCCGGTGTGCGGCCCCTGCTGAGGTCTCCATCGGTCCGGTCCGGTGTGTAGCCTCTGCTAAGATCTCCACCGGTTCGGTTTCTGGCCCGTGCTGAGGCCCCCACCGGTCTGGTGTGCGACCCCTGCTGAGGTCTCCACCGGTCCAGTTTCTGGCCCGTGCTGAGGCCCCCACCGGTCCGGTTTGCGGCCGCTGCTGAGGTCCTCATCGGTCCGGTGTGCGGCCCCTGCTGAGGTCTCCACCGGTCTGGTGTGCGGCCCCTGCTGAGGCCTCCACCGGTCTGGTGTGCGGCCGCTGCTGAGGTCTCCATCGGTCCGGTGCGCGGCCGCTGGTGAGGTCTCCACCGGTCTGGTGTGCGGCCGCTGAGGCCTCCATCGGTCCGGTGTGCGGCCCCTGCTGAGGTCCTCATCGGTCCGTGCGGAGGTCATCATTCGTCTGGCATGTCGCGGGCGGCCCGTGTCGTCTCGATTTCTCTGGCGCGCGGAGCACCGTGACGACGGTCCCATCCATCCATCAGCGCCACGCTTTTAGCCACACGGAGTTCTGACGTCGGTGGAGCCAGCTGGGGGAGCAAACATCAGCGCTCAGCATCGGCTGTGTGGCGGGAGAGTCCCGACGGGAGCGCCTCACCGGACAGGGACAGGGACGCTTCACAGCAGACAGCACGCTGCGGCATGCAAGCTTGTGCCGCACTACCCGCGTTTGTGGCAGGCTTCAGCAGGTGCGGTGTCGCTGAGACTGGGAAAAGACTGTGAGGTGATTTATGGCAGAGTATTGGGGAGACTGATGACGTCCGTTCGTTCTCCGATCGTGCTAATTGCGTGGCTTTGGGTAAGTAGCGGTTGGCTTTCAGAAAGGTATGTCTAAGGCTGTGCGAGGCTGGGAAAGGGAGCAGAGCTAGTTGGGCCGAAGTGTGATGAAGTCCGGTGCGTGATAGCTATTTGTCTTCATTACAAAGGACATGTTTTAGCTGGTAACAATCAAGACAGCTTTCCAATCTCAAACAATGGCCACATGTTTAACGATGACGCTTCTTGTCGAATAGTTCGTATTAGTAAATGACGTGTGCGGGTTATAACTTCAGACAGCACGAAGATGGCATGGAAGGCAAGCGTGCAACTTCCCGGACCACTTGCTGCTTCCATAGCTGACTAACTGGACAAGGGCGGCGACGCGTGTCGCAAGACGGAGGTGGAGCAAGGAGAGACTTTGGGGTCATGCACCTGAAGGTGGCTGAACCCCCGTTGGCAAAGGTCTTCGGTGCCTTTTGGATGTTTAAGACTCCCGTAAGGTTTCTAAAGCTCACAAAACGGGCCCTACAGCATCGAAATAGAACCCCGAGTTTACAAAGGCCTCCAAATGCAATCGCTGTGCTTCTAAGCGTGGAAAGGGCCCCCTGGAGTGCAAGCATCATCATGACGCCCTTTCATCTCCTCCTGTATGACATCCTTGCTACGCCACTGGTGGGAGAGGCGCATGGTCGCTTTAGAGGGCCTAGAAGCATATCAATTTGGATCGACTCCGCATCAGGAAGCTAATTAGTGCGTTCATCCATCACCATAAAGTTATTCATCCACTGAGTCATCAGCTCGGTGCAAAAAGCCTCCCGGTGTCTGAATTTATTAATAAATGGCTCGATGCACATTGCTCCGGCAGATAACGCCGCCGTTAATAATGTTTCACGTTGCCTGGCCGCGGTTGCCTGGGTGACTCCAGGGCGGCCGTAAAAAAGGCATCAACGCAATCTGCGTGGCATCTCTGTGATTTGGGGACGGTGCGCTGGCGGCCAGATCCTCCCACGGGCTGCGGTGTTCCTGCACTGGAGAACACGGAGCTCTCAGTGCATCAGGAGTGAGCCAAGTGTCAGCCACTGCGACGCCACATCAGGTGGTGAGGAGCACGGCCTTCAGGCGGTTGTCCTGCGCTGAACACTGGTACGTTCGCGGTATCATCTCCGGGTATGACGCGTTGGAACGGGACTGCTGCCTTTGATCAGATCAGTTTAGTGCAGTATATTGCGGTTACATCCTGGAATACTTCCAGCCTTTTCATGAACCAAGTCAAGATTAAAAACAAAAACGGTACCGTATCGTGTGAGAAGCTTTTGCATACCGCCGGGGGGCAGAAGATGGTCGTGCCTCAACTAAAGCCGAGTGTGAAGCAGGTCATTCGCCTGAAAGCTTTCGGTGACGCTGCCACGGCGCGTCATGATCAGCTGATGCCGATCGATCAGCTGTTGGTTCTTTTTATGGCGCGCCGCCTGCGGAGGTGATTCTGCGTCCATCAGCTGACGGCCAGTCATCGTGCAAGCCCGAAACGAAAGCAGAAGACGCGACGCAATCAAAACATCACCGTTGTTTTTTTTTTGTTTACTTTTTCATTCTGCATCTGATCATTTGCATACTTGGAATCTAAGGAAAGAGGTGTCTTCAAATTTACTTCCGGTTATCGGCGACTCGGCACTGCCAGTCAAGTTTCGTTTACGATCCTTCAAATAAACGCGTACAGTATTCCAACATGCAATATAGCCTTACACAATAGAAAGAAAGACACGTACTACACAAGTAGCACGTGCTACAAAATGCACCAATATTGCAGCATGTGAACCTACTTTACTAAAATATTCTACGCAGAATTCTCAGACAAACACAGACTCTCAGGCACAAACGTTTGCATTGTAAATACTTACAACGAATACAAACGAAATCCATCCCTGACACATTCTAGGTAACAAGCACTTTAATGTACATGACGATATGTTCTGTGCTACTTTTGAGCTACCAACAGACACTAGCACATGACTGCCCTGCTTGTAGACTCTTAACAAACGCATTGAAATCACAAACACAAAATCAGTGATTTAAACGTGATTTTCACCTAATGCTCACGAAGGTTCTCGATCGGTGCGGCGCAGATCTGATGGGAAATTAACATATTTTTTGGAACCTGCAGACGCATCTTACATTGTCCCAGCCAGCGTCGGGTCACGCTCAAAGTGCGGCGCTTTATTCTGCTGACACTGACTCGGGCTGCATTCAATGTCATAGTAATTATCACCGCCTCTCGATCTTTTCGTAGCAAAAAAGCTGAGATGACGGCGCCACAAACCCTTCTCCGTCTGATTTCGCCTTTAGCATATTTTATCGCGTTGTTCAGCAGGCCACTTTGAGCACGCTTTTAGAGGTTACTTGAGCGCTCCACTTAGGGGATGACTGACTCTTGAACAGCTGCAGTCCAGCGCCGCTCTGGTTCCGAAGAGACAGGGGACGGCTTGCTCGTAACCAGCTGCAGTCCAACTGGTTCAGAGGAGACAGGGGACGGCTTGCTCGTAACCAGCTGCAGTCCAACTGGCTCAGAAGGGACAGGGGACGGCTTGCTCGCAACCAGCTGCAATCCAACGGGTTCGGAGGAGACAGGGGACGGCTTGCTCGTAACCAGCTGCAGTCCAACTGGTTCAGAGGAGACAAGGGATGGCTTACTCGTAACCAGCTGCAGTCCAACAGGTTCAGAGGGAACAGGGGACGGCTTACTCGCAAACGACTGCAGTCAAACGCGGCCCTGGTCCAGGGGAGACGCGTGCCGACAGCTGTCACCCGAGTCATGGGTGCAGCTGCAGCGCCTCAGGGACGTAGCCGTAAGGGGTCCCCGCCGCCTGCCCTCACAAGAGACGCTGATGACTGTGCGGCGACGGCGTTCCATCTGCCCCGATCCAGAGGCCAATCACCGGCGTTGGCTTACTCGCCGTCAGCAGAGTTTCGACTCACCGTCGGCACGGTTGCAACTCACTGTTGGTACGGTTTCGACTCAACGTCAGCACAGTCTCGACTCACTGTCGGTACAGTTTCGACTCGCCGTCATCACAGCCTTTACCCACAAGCTGCACCCCCTCCCCTCTGTTTGGCTGCCCCACCCCCTCTCCGCTCTTCACGCCCGTCCACGACCGAGCAGGGCCCCCCTCCACTCCCGACGTTCCTGGGTCAGGAGACGGGAGCCTGGCTAACAAGGCGCCGACCGCGCCGGTCGCTGAGACCCGTCCCGGCAGCCGGGCAGCGCCGCACGTCCTAACTAAGGCCCGAGGGGCCCTGCCGGCGGCGGCACGGTCCGCGCGGCCGACGGCACGCTCGTGTCGGCGAAGAAACAGCAGAGTGGTGCCCGGGGCCCACACTTGTGCCGCGGTGGTCGAGATGCCCTCGCAGAACCTGGCTCTGTTTCTGATCAGTGTCGCGTGGTTGGTAGCTTGATGTGGTCGTGTGTTTTGGTCTGATGTGGGGGGGGGGGGGGGGGGGGGAGCAATAGTGTAATGATTAACGCATCGGTATTAACTAACCACTGTGCGTGTGGGAAACCAGAGGTACGGGGCTCGATTCCCCGCGATACCCGTCCTTCCTGCCAGGGTAAGAGGCGGGCGACGCCATATAGCCTCAACAGCTGGGTGCGTCCTAGAGCCCCAATGACGACGACGACCTGGTTTGAGATGCAGCTCTGATCTGACATTTCCTTGTCGTCTTGCAGGTTGATGCTTAACGATTGTGAAGTTCGCGGTTAAAGTGGCTTTATGTCTCGACATGGTTTTCTACTCACTCCAGTTTGATGAAGACCTGTTTTCCCCGTTCCTGACCTGACTTTGTCTCATATTTCCGTATACCTTCCCTGACTTCCGTGGAGTGAAGGGGTATGCTGACCTCATGTGACCACGGCCTCTGACCTGACGCGACCTGATCTCTCCTCAGATCGGCACCTGGCGTTCGTGGGGCGGCAGTCGTGGCCAGGGCTCGCTCGACATCAAGGACATTGTATGGCCCGGTTACTCTCATCTCCCGCCCGAAGGTCGGTCGCTGACCCGGTCATGTGGCCCCACCTGTTGCCACAGGGCCCGTCGGTTAACGTGGTCACATGACCTTTGTCGCTACAGACGCTAAGAGCCCATGATATTTTTAAACCGACCCGTTCCATTTGGCTTGATCACCGCAGGCACTGAACAGCCTGTGATACTTCTAGAATGTCGCTTTAAAAACATTGGCGTTCTCGTGGAGTGGAAATGCACCTCCAAATACGCTTCCATCTGCGGCCGGGGTCATGGACAGCCTTAAGTCGAATAGAAAGGCTCTAGACAGAGGATGGTTGCAGCCATGGGCCAAGTAGGTCGCAAGCTGCTGAAGTGAACTAAAATGACTCGTGGAGTGCATGAAATATCACTTGCGTAAGTCCAGCTTGTGTTCGCCCAGGCTGAACACGGCGTACTAAAAAAGTCACAAACTTGCGCATATAGCCAAGCTTCACAATTCACGTTAAGCAAATCTTGCTGAGACTGACCTTCAGCCCTAACGCCGCCCTCGTCTTACGCAGGCGTCCCCGAGAAGTTCCACCTGCGCGTGGCCTTCATGGAGGACTCCCCCTACGTCATGATGGATCCGCCCGACCCGATCTCCGGAACGTGCGCCGCCAACAAGGGCGTCCTTTGCAGGGTCGCGAACGAGTCCGTGGTGGAAGGGTACGTCATGCTGCTGCCGTGCAGTAGCACGATGTGTTGTGGTGGAAAAGTGGGAACTCTGTGGGAAGAGCGGCGCCTTGTTGCTGAAGAGAGTGGGCGTGAGGCTGCTTGTGCGGAAGGGTGCGGCATACTATGAGCGCCGCCAACGCGGCGAATGCATGGCGCGTCACCAACTTTGACGAGCTATGGCTCTTCTCGTATGATATATGGCAATAGCATATTACGAAAGCAACTCCTGTCTCCGCCAAATCTTTTAGCCTCGGCAGGGCTGCGGTAAGTGCCGTTTTCTTAGAAAGGTGGGATGTGCTCTGGTGGAAGGCGCCATGCTGATTCTGTGAAGTGTGTGAAAAGCCGCTGCACAGTGATAGTGCATGCGTCTGAAAGTAGGACATGGGACTATGACCTGTTGTACGGACGTGCTCATTCGTTGTACACTGTCGCATGTCATGACGTCCCGCTGCAGCCTGAACCTGACGGAGGCGATGCGGGACCCCGACATCTACCGCTGCTGCTCAGGCTTCTGCATCGACCTGCTGGAGAAGTTTGCAGACGACCTGGGCTTCACCTACGACCTCTTCCGCACCGAGGACGGCCTCTGGGGCGCGCTAGTGGTACGTTCTGATGTAGGTCACGCCAGCACCGCTGCCGCTGACATGTAATCCCCGTGTTGGATGCTGGCTAGGATGCTATTGCTCGGGAACACTTCTGTTGGTGCAGGAGAGTTGGCTTGGCTTTGTGTTGCTGCTACATTTTGTGTAACGGGATGAAAGTCATCGTGAACGAATAGCTGTCCCCTCGAAGAAGTTGATTCGCTATTTCGAAATATAATCTATG